CAGTTCATAAAAGAAATGCATCTTTAAGTGCTTTACATACAATATAGATGGAAATAAACACATGTTCAAATGTAATTCAAAATAAGAATACGATTTTTGAAAATGCATTAAAACACGTTCCTCACGACAACAGATTCGTAAAAAAGAGGCAAAGCTGGTGCAAGTGGAAAACAAACTCGAGAGCAACAAGGATCAAAAGCAGTTAATGACTGAGTTCCTCAAAAATGCTAAACAAGAGCTGGAGAACACTGAGGTAAGTTAATCAGAATACTATACATATATATTTACTGTGTGTCAGGTGTGCATCTCTTCTGATGAGCGGGTTAAAGTAACAGTGCCACTGTTTGTTGCTTTGTCTTTTCTGCACCCAGGCTTTATGTAAGGCCAAGGAAAGAGAAGAAGAGTTGGAGAAACACCTCAAAGCCCTGGCAGAGAGGGAGACAGGTCGTCTGGTGCAGGAAACGACAAAGACTGACAATGAGCTTCGATCTTTAGCAGAGAGGAGAAACATGCTGGAGGTCTGTACCACTCACAATATAAGAAACACTGTAAAGCTGATGGTTCCATCCTATTCTCATAATGTGCCGACCTTTGTCCATATCCTCAGAATCACATCTTCAAGACCAACCAGAAGCTGGAGGAGTTTAGGAACCAGATGAACTGGGACCAGCAGACCATGGAGGCCTTTTTGGAGGAGTCAGCATGCCAAGATGAGGACGCAATGGCCATCATCAAGTACGCCCAGCAAGATGAGCAGAAGATCAAGGTAAAGTGAAAAGACCTAAAAGTATCTACAGTGCATTCTGGTTTCAGGAGCAGTTGCACTAATTAGCCACAGCATTAACACCAGTTACCTGTTTATATGTTGTTGCTGATGAAAGTCGTACTCCTCCTGAGCTAACAGCTTTATTGCCTCTCCTGTTGCAGTCACTCTCTCTGGCTATAGAGAAGAAGACACTGGAAGCCAGTGAAAAGCGAAAAGCAGTTGACAAGGAGTTGACTGAGACTATATCTGCACAGGTACAAGAAAAAAAAACAGATGCAGGATTCACACATCGGAGGCTTCAACATAATTGTTGCTCATTCACTTTGATTGGGGTGATGTCATGCATTGCTGTATTGCATCATGGCTGCGTTGTGTTGTTTTGCATACTAGAAGTTCAGGTCAGCTTTTCACGTCGCAGCATAATTCATGTCCCATGAGCATTACACTTATTATACTCGTTATTTGAGTATAAATGTGGATCTATACTTTTGTGTTCTTGACCTCCAGCTCTGTGGCGGTATAAGTATTTCACAGTATTTAGTTTGGGTTGTTTTTGTGAATCCTTTTAAATGTTCCTATAAAAACAATCTTCTTCTTTTCTAACAGCTGGCTTTGGATAAGATGACAGATCATTTGCAGCAGACTCACCTGGAGACACAGCAGCTCATCCGCCAGTGGGAGAACACCGTCAAGCAGATGAATCAGCGTGATGCTGAGATGCAGCAGTGTGCTCTTGTAAAGTCTTTTACCATTGCACTTTTGCTGATAAAAGACACACCAATGGATATTGACCTCTAATGGGAATGCTCACCGAACAATAAACTTGACTAACACCCTGTGTTTGTGATCCGGTTTTGTTTGTTTATCTGTTCAGCAACTTGCCAAAGCTAGCCAGAACATCAGGGAAAGGAATGCCACCATTACAGAGAGGAAGCACTTGCTGGATACTCAGAGGAACAACAACACAGAAACTGAGAGGAAGATATCTGCAGCCCAGCGACAGACTGTAAAGCTGCGGCAGGATTTGAAGGAGCAGGAGAATAACTGCAGTGTGCTGCAGGATGAGGTCAGCTTCTCAAACAACTCTTATCAAAGATGAATACATGCTCAAAGAATGTTGCAACTAATCTGATCTGTAATCCAACTTTATTTTGTTGAGACTGATTCTAATGCATGCTAATGATCACAATTGCAGCTGGATAGTCGCAAGGGCACACTTGATAAAGCAACTTCCAGTGTGAAGTCTGTGACGTCCAACATATCCAGAATGAAAAAAGATATCCAGGATAATGACGAGAAGTGGGTTAAGTCTTACAACATGTCTCTGTTGATAAAAAGTCACTGTAGTACTTCATAAACAAGCTCTGTCTTTATGTGTGTGTGTTGTAGGCTCAAGGAGGCCAGGGCGTACAATGCTGCGCTGGAGGAGAAGCTGAAACAAGTAACTCAGACTGCTCTGAGTGAGGAGGAGAGAGCTGCTCAGATGGATCGGTTTCTCACGGATGAGGAGGAGGCAATCAAGGTGAGCGGCCTGATAGTCCTGAGCCCTGAACTGTTAAACTGCTGAGGTGTTAGTTTGTAGAGAGCTTTTATTTACATTAAAACGTCTTTTTCAGTTTTTCATTTCATTTCACATCTTAAGACTGTTTGATTATTATATTTTGCTGGTAGCTTTGGGAAACAATCAAAAAAACAACTATTTTATGTTGAGTTTAAATGAATTTAAATCTGCTCTGGGTGACATGGGATTGAAGTATCATAGCTTTGTACTGTATTACTACTTTGTAACCCTGTGTTTCCTGGGCTTTTCTGTAGGAGCTGGATGTGCAGCTGCGTGACTGCAGAGAGGAGCTGTTCCGTCGTAAAGAGCATTTGCAAGGTCTAAAGACAAAAGGGAAGGATTCTGTCGCCAATGTTTCCAGAAGCAAATCCACCATCACCGGCCTGGACAGCCAGCTGAGAAAACAGGAGAAATACTTAATAAGGCAACAGATGCTCATTAATGAGCAGGTAAGATTACAAATTTAAAAAAAACTTGCACAATTTCATGACAAATAGCTTCAGATTTTCCTCTCACTTTCCTGCATCATAGGACTCCAGGGTCATCACCATGGAAAGAAAACTGGCGCGGCTGCAAGGAGATATTCAGCAAGATGAAAAACAAGCGCTAGAAATGCACATCACTGAGTTGACCAAAGCCCTGGAAGAGAAGAAGAAGTCAGCCAGCACATTAACCAACATTCTCAAGGAGTCCGAGGTCAGTCTCGCTGGCCGTTCTCTCTCTATTCATGTAAATGAAATATTTACATCTCTCATATATCTCTCTCTGTCTCTTTCTCTTACAGGATGATATCCGCTTATTGAAGAAAGAAATGGGAAAGTCAGAGGCTCAGAAGAGAGATGTGACGGAGAAGGTAGAGGAGCTCCTGCTTCTCCGTAATACAAATGAGAAGGAGCTGAAAAGAGTCCGTCTCACGAAACAGGTAATGCGCTGATGTCACAGCAGATGTCATGTATTCACCTGAGTTGTTGACGTTTATTTACCACCTCAGGACGTCCTGTATTCAAACTGTGTTCAGGAAAATCAGACGTAAATACTTTGATCGGAGGTTTCTGTCACTTTGAAGGAATGTTCCCCATTTTGCTTAAATATTATTTGATTGATAGGAATTTGATTAAAGATTATTTTCATATTTAGACTCTTTCAATCTGAACCAAAATTGCAGACCATCACTCTTTCTAAAGTCATGATGCTAACACGGCCAAAGACCTACTTTTTCAAGCCGCACATGGAAGTGAATACAAACCCAGGGTTTACTTGCCTGAAAAGTAATGAATGTTGCTTGATTTCTCGGAGAGTTATTCCAACAATGATACATTTTATGCTAAAACACAGCAGATTTTATATAATGTAACTCAAAGAACATATGCAAAACGATACTATGTTCTTGACCTCTTTTTCCTCTGCAGGACGACTTGGTGGAGCATAACATCTTGAAGGTAGAGGTCAAGCGCATTCGAGATCTGCTGTACAGCAAGACGGACACTGTGCTGTCTTTGGAGAAGAGGAAGCTGGGGCTACAGAGAGCCTTAAAGGAGAGGTCGGGTGAGATCAAGGTCTACAGAGAGATGCTCGGCCAGAAGCTCAAGATAAGTGAGCAGGAGAGACAGAAACTGAGGTGAAAACTACAGCAATTATCTCCAATCTCATGAACCCACAGTAGAGTCTGAGACCACTGCCCCATCTGAGTGGATGTGAAGTGGTTTCAGACCTCTGGACCCTCATGTACACATTTATCATCTGGTGTTTAAGTAACTTCTTCTTTTGTAAAATGTTTTACGAAGAAAATCCCTTAATTTTGTGACTGATTCTGTTTCAGTGCTGAGTTGAATGAGAAACTGTCCGCGATCGTCATGATAAAAAAACGTTTTGAAGTTGTGACACTTTCGAAGGCAGCTCCTGAGGGGGAAGAGGAGAAGTCGCAGGCCTATTATATCACAAAGGTCTGAGGGCTACACACACACACACACACACAGCATTGTGTCACATGCACTGTCTGCTGAAGCTAACCATGATCAGATTGTCCCTGTGGGGCCCACCAGCTCTCTGAATGCGGTTTTGTGCTTTTCACCAGGCTGCACAAGAGAGAGAGGAGCTCAAGCGAAAGGGAGATGCTCTAGATGCTAAAATACGCAAAATGGAGTTCGAGAACAGCGCTCTGGAAAACACCATCCAGATGTTCAACAACAGTAATTCAATGTTTCGCAAATCTCTCACCAAAGTAAATGAATCAAGTACGTATGACGGGGTTGACAGAATGACTTCAAACCAACAAATCAATCACAACACTCACAATTTGTGTCTGTTTCTTCCTCTTTGGCTGCTTAAATGAGAGCAGCTCTCATAGTTCACAAACCAATTCAGATTTTTTGTTTTAGGTCCAGAATATCAAGAAAAACTGAAGTTAGAGGAGCAGTTAAAGGCAGCTGAAGATACGTTAAAGTTCAAGAAGAGACACGTCGAGGAGCTTCAACAGGACTTACTGGTTAGTCCTGTTTACAGTCAGTGTTGAGCAGGTGATGTAGAAAAGTGTAACAATTAGTCCATGAACACTGAATGACTCCACCTGAATCATTACATGTCCCATCACTACTGGGCGTACATTTAGAATATATTCTCCGAAGATTGGCTCACGTTTTCAACAATTTCAATTTTTTAATTTGTGTGTTAAGTCCTTCCTAAGTGTTTAGGGGAAAAAATGTGTTAATCACATCAAGTTTTAAACTGGTAATTTAGAAAAACTTTATCTATACAAGTTAGGACTTAATAAACATACAAGCAAACTATTAATATATATCTGTAATGCTGTCCAATCAAACAGTATCAACCATAACACAAAATATTAATTCAGTTGATTATGTTTGGTGATACTGTATCGATTCTGAAAAACACTGTATTGATTTGTAAAGATTTGCATCTGACTGTTTATTTTCTGTTGGTTTAAACAATTACAAGATGTGAATGTCCATGATATATTGTAAATGTTCGTAAATATTTCATATGGCTTCATGCATCATTGTTTCTGAAAAGCCCTTCTAGTTCTTTGCAGTTTTTAAATGTTACTGAAGTTACTTGTTGGATTGTTGTTCTACCTGAGTAATCCAGTGTGTCTCTCTGGCTGCTACTGTGTGTTTTTGTGTACCACTCTCTGTTTCCAGGACATGAACAATACCTTTGAGTGTCTGCTGCAAGAGGAGCAGGTTGAGAAAGATAAGATGACGAACAAACAATCACTCATCAGCAAACTGAACAAAGAAATCACTTCCCAGCAAGAGAAGATTGACAGGGCAATCAAACAGGTTTGATGTCTACCTGTAACTGTTGGGATAACCACACTTTATGTTTTAATATTGTGAAAATGAAAATTATTTGGGAAATCAAACTGATTTGCAAATAAAAATGAATACTTCAATGGCTTACACACACATGTATGAAGAATGAAGTAAAGCTATTAAGTCATACTTTTTTGATCTGTTCTGGTAATGATTAGTATAAATAAAGGAGGAATGCTGTGTGTATGGAATCTTTTAATCATAATTTAATTTAGTATTTTCCTTGTGCTCTGCCAGTGCTCCAAGATGACCAAAGAGATCCGTGCAGCGAACAACACCAAGTCTGAGACTTTTGAAGAAAAAGAAATTAAACTGAGGGAACTAGCAGAATTCAACAAGAGCATCGGTAATATGCTAAATGAGGCTGTGGAGGACAAGCCTGATCTCAGACCAGTGCTGGAGAAATACTTCCTGCAGGTATAAAACGAAGGACGCTGCATTGTTTTTATATTCAGAGGATTAATTAAGCATTTAATGATCGACTTTGCTTCCGTGCCAGTAATGGGATTTAACTTGAATTTTGTAAAATAAATGTGGTAACAAAATCAGAGTTCCATTATCTTTTTTGTCTCTGCTTGTTCTTTCAGGCCAATCTGTCTTTTCCAGCTCCTTCCTCCACGCCCACCAGCCATCGCAGCTCCAAGACAAACTCCGCCCGCAGCTCTGCCTCCCTCAGGTCAGACTCTCTCCTCAAGACTTCAGACTTAATAAATCTAGTTTAGGTCTTGTTTTCTTTTTTATCTTACAAAGACTTGGAGATTGTGCTACTCCTCGTCATGGTGCTGTTCTCTCTCTGTACTACAGGTCTCCTGCATCTTCCACCAGCAGCAGCCCCAGGGCCTCTGCACTTCATTCTCCCTTGTTGAAGACTGTGGAACTGGGCTTAGACACAACTGTGATCTCCCCTCCTCCCACCACCTCCAGGCGTTCCAGCTCTTCAAGTAGCAGCACCAGCAGCAGCAGGAAGTTGAAGAACTCCTAGTTGTGCAGAATAACTGTGTCACATCACTCAATGGAAACAGATTGTGTAATGTTTTGCCGTTTTTAGTTGTAGCAGTAATGAGAAAATTAAATGGGTGGCCCTTTAAAAGGAAAAGAAGAAGGTGCAAGGGAAATGATTTATTGATATTTTGGTGAATGTGACTCTTTGTTTAATAATCATACTTCTTTGATTGGGTAGTTATTTGGATTTGCATAATTATCTGAAAATTACTTGATTAACTGAATTGATTGTTTGTGATTCCCTTTCTTCTGATGCCTTCTGTAGCCAAGCTATCTGGGATAGCTCTCTGACTGTGATATATTTTAATTATTGACAGGTTAAGAAGCTCTTTCCGGCCCCCTACTCTCTTTTTATGCCATTTTAGAAAACCGACTCTGTATAGTGTTGAAAGGTTTGTTTTTGATGTGTTCGAAGCTTATTATCCATAAATCAAGCTGTTTTCAGACATGACCTGTGGGTAAATTCTGGAGAATTTGCTACAGAGTTTCTCGCAGTTTACTTTTTACACGTACACAACGCAGCAGGAGATTCACAGTTTACATTAACAACAAAACACAATTTTATGACATCCCCTCGCTTGCATGTTTAACAAAACTACCCAAAGAAAGTTTTTTTCCTCTCTGCTGCTGAGGCTGTTAATCTCTGTTTTCTGCATTTGAAAGTACTTTTGAATAAACTTACAGAAGACAGTATTTGTAATTGGCCTTATTGATACATATTAGCCAATCAATTTAAATTTCTATCAGGAGAGATTTTTTAGGATGACATTTAATATATTGTGAACAGAGGAATAGACTTTGGCACATCCTGACCCCAGCAGGAAGTGGAACACCGTGGAAGCAATCAAGACTTCCCCGGTCTATACTATACAATTTTACAGAGAGGACTAATATACTAACTAAAACAGTATTTGTAAAAGTCAACAAAATGCAATGTGATAGTGAAAACAACAGTAATGAGCTTTACTTATAAGAATAGAAAGTGATGTATGTGCATTATCTGCAGATGTGAAGCTTGACGTACATTTAGGTGTGTGATGTAGTACATGACACTGTCAGCTATTCCTGAGGCCGACAGCAAACTCTGTTCTGTCAGGGGAGAGGACGTGTAAAGGATGTGTCCTGGGTGAAAGGGATCCTTGGTGATTTTCTCTGCTTCCTAGTTACTGTGGCCTGAAGGGAAGGCAGGGAAAATCCAGATCATCTCTAAATATTGATATCATATAGCACTTCTCAAAACAAAGTTAAAAAAACAAATTAAACCGCAATAAAATAATAATGTGAAGAATTAAAATCCTAAATAGGTGAAAGAAATGTAATGCGTTTAAAGTTTTGATTTGAAGGAAGCTACTGACTCAGCTGGTCATATTTCCTCAGGCAGCGTGAAACTCAGAGCTCAATTTCAAAAGCTCTGTCTCCCTTATTGTGGAACAGTAAGAGGATCAGTGCCAGAGGATGTCGAGCAGGTTGTGTGGGGAAAAGAGATCCTCGACGTGAGAAGTCAGACCATTTAAGGCCTTTTCTGTTGCTCATTTAGCTTTGTGAAGGCAGCTACGTCTTTTTATGTCCTTTATTTTTACACATTCACCCTCTCATTCATCGGTTAGATAGTGGGAGGGTTTCAACTGTTAATCATAAAGCAAATCACAAAGGGCTAAGGCTCACCGATTAGACAGGTGTTGTGTTTCCTCATATTTTTTTGAACAATGAGCCCATTATTTTTGACCTTTGGTTGTGTGCTCGAGTTAGTAACTATTGTTGGTAACACGACACACCTTCTGAATGAGGGAGTCATTTCCTCATACAGGACAAAAGTAACCAGAGGTCCTTTGGAAGCAGAAGCGACACTTTCCCACACTCTCTCACTCTGAAAAACTAAAAACGTAAAGCTTCGACATGCTGCTGCTGATATTACTCGCTGCAGGTTTGACCTCAGGAGCTGCCCAGACAAGTGAGTACAAGTAATTAATGCCTGGGAAATTTAAAGTAGACGGGTAGATCGTGAATAGTGTACATAGTCAAATTTGAGCAAATTTGTTTAGCTGAAGTTTGTTGGAAGTTTTTTGATGTGGTGGATTTCAAATGTACTTAACTTTATTATTAATGTTTCCCCAGCATCTTTTCCCACCTTTTTTACGGGGACATCAACAACAGAGACTCCCTTCACACACTCAGTCCAGTCAACGGTCCAGTCAACAGTCCATTCTGCTTTCACAAACAACAGTAAGTGTTTCTATAGCCCACCCTGGAGTCTAACATGGCTTTTGATGGCTTTGAATTCATGCCTCTTTTTGTTTGTCCCACAGCTGTGGCAATCCTTCAGACAACCATTCAGTCCAGTCAGCAGTTAAATGAAACGACAATCGCTCCAGTCTTACACAAGGTAAGAACTATAGTTTACAGAATGTCCACACAGAGTGAAATGTCCACTTTAACTTCTATTATCAAACATGAATCAAACCTGTGCTGATTGTGTAGTGCACGTTCTAATAATAACAGAAGGTGAACCAGGACCTGAATATGATGAGTTTAATATGATTTGTGTATTTCAGCTTTACAACATCATCCAGCAGCTTCAACCACATCTGAACTTCACCCTGACTGTAAAGAACATGACCGAAGTCTGAAACAGACTCATCGCAAAGGTTTCTGTGTGTTTCTGTGAGTTAGGTCCAAATTATTAAGGGTGATCCTCTGCTGTTTATTATGTTTACTTGATTACTTGATAAAGCAACACTATGCAACTTTTTGGCCTTAAAGTAGCAGCTACATAATTAGTTCACTGTGATGGTGGACTGATAGGGAGCATTTTGCAGATTAAATTCCTACTCCTCATCTGAAAGCCTGTTCTTGCTCGATGTAACTTGTGTGTATCTGACTGATAGTCGCAGCTTTAACTGCCAGAATCAGGCCCATTGATAACCTGCATTAATCTCTGATATCCAGCAGGAAACCTTTAAAATATCAAGAACTGAGAACAGAGTTTGGTCACAGCAGCAGCTCTTCTAGTTCAGGATCATGAGGAATATATATTCAGTTGGGACGATGATGATAATCACCACCTGTGGCTGCAGTGCCTGTTGCTCAGTGAACTGTGGTGCTTCTCTCATCATGAAATGTATTCTTCCTGTCTTCACTGTACTTTCATTTTCTTTTTCATTGAATAGCATGAATCCAAACTATTAATTATTTGTTCTTCAACAAAGTTATAATTTGGACAGTGTGATTCTTATTTCAACAAATTACTTCTCAATGCAGTAAGTCACAGTTCCTGACTGTCGCCACAGGTGCTTCCCAGGTTATTATCTAGTGTCCTGGAAAGAGTCTTGGGATCTTTACATAGAGATACACTTCTGTTTAGATAACACTATCTGGTTTTGCACTCTTTGGAAAGTTTGAAAAGCAAATATTGCTCAATATTATTGAAAACAGCAA